TGCAAAATTATTGGCATCTGAGCTTTGTCCACCAATAATATTACTAGAATTGGCAATTTCATTTGATTTTTGCCCTGTGTAATTAAACAATAAATTAGATGTTAGATAATTGCAAATTTATGTGATTAATTCAAGTAAATGATATATAAAAGAAATATAATCTATGCAAATAAAGTATTTGTATTAATACGACACAACGATAATAATAATTATATCCTACGTTGTTACTGATACATCAACAATGACATTGTTCATAGAATAATTAATTTTTCAAGAATCCATTAATCATTTACATATATATGAATGCTAAAGCCATCTGGCATTACCAATTTTGCTAAAGAAAAAACGACAACATTAATTATTAATGTACCATAGTTTTATATTCTAGAAGATTTTAACAAGAAACAACCAACACAATAAAATTAACAACATTAAACATTATTTTATTTTATTTTTTAAAAAAGAGAATTAAATTTGGCATGAAATTGTATTAGTTATTAATAAAGTCACTTATTACAAACACACATACATATATACAACCCGTCAGATTTATCTGGCATTACCAACTTTGCTTAAAGAATGACGACAATATTAATTATTAATATACCATAGTTTTATATTCAAGAAGATTTTAAGAAGAGAAATAACCAAAATAACGAAATTAAAACCATTAAACATTATTTTCATAAAAAAGAAAAAAAGAATTAAATTCTAAAAATGTGCTTATTTTAACCACTCATGAAGTCATTTATCATAAACATATATACAAATCGTTAGATTTATCTGACATTAGCAACTTTACTAATGAACATTAACGATGATACCATTATTAATCTTCATTTCCCAACTAAAAATTTCAACAAAAACAAAGATTATTTTCATATAAATTTCAAACATTAATTATAAGGCAAAGATTTATACCTGAGGAGGAGGCTGAGTGGGAAGATTTGGAGCCAAAGGAGCAAAATCAAATTGGATTTGTTTATTTTTTTCAGAATTAATATTATTGTTTGGTAACCCTAATTTCAGAGTGAGGTCAACAGTGTTTCCAGCATTGTTGCTGGGAAGATCTTGATCGTTCATGTTTTGAGCTGCCTCATTGAACCACTGGGAATCCATGATCGATGGTGATCAAACTGTGAGATCTCTATGCGTTTGTTTTCTACAGAGAAATCAACAAAACAAAAACACATGAATGTTAATAAATAATGTTAATATTTATATAAATCCAAAAATTATAAAATAATAATATAATAAAGGAAAAAGAGAGAGATAATGCATGAAATGTATGAAACTGAAGGAGTAATGAACATATAAAAACAAAATTAAATGACCTGGAAGACTGACACATATTATAATGATTTAAACACATTTTTTCTGTGATCAGATGTCAAAAATTAGGTTGTTTGGATGCCCAGAAAATATATATTTGTTTGATCTAATCATGGATCTAAAGATATGATTTATTTCATTGTTTGGAGAGAAAGTAAATTCTTCAATCCTATAAAAATAATAATTAATTTGTATAATTCATGAATAGTATGAACATTTTCAACCCATCAAGGTTGGTTAATAAAAAATAATAAAACCAATAGATTAAAAGAATAAAGGCATGCATCCACAGGTAACATATTATATGATCAATTGAGGCATTGTAAAGTTTACCAAGATCTAAAAGGGAAAATTATAAATATAATATATGTTAATGAGAAGCTAAAAAAAGAGTAAAACCTTATATGAATTAAAAACCTTATATGAATTAAAGAAGATATTAAAATAAGACTTCACAGAAAGAACGAAACTTTGTATATCTTTCTCATATTTACGTGTCATTTTAAAGCTTAGTTATATCGATATCGGTTCAATATTGTAGAAGAACCTTGAGATATCGTAACATAGCTTTAAGAAGAAAAAAAAATGACCTTTTTGAGAGTGAGAAATTATCAGTTTTTAGGGACAAGATGGGGAAAGACTGTACGAGTTCAAAAACATTGTACCACTAAAAAAAAAAAAAAAAATCATGCATGCACGTAGCTTAACTAATTGACCCCGTTTCATTTCTCACTTTAGATGTCATTCATAAAAGCTTAATTTTATCGATATCTATTCATGTGGTTCAGTTTTGTACATGAACCCTGATAGTAATATCGTAGTATAGCTTAAGAAACAAATGACTTCACTCGAGAGTGAGAAATAATAAGTAAAAATATGCATGCTAAAGCTAGAGAAATTGAAGAATATTATGGAGTGGGAGGAGGAAATTAACAAGAGAGAAACTAAAAGACTTACAACTATTTGTTGTATTGAAGGGATGATATGAATCATAGAGAGAGGCTCAATTTATAGAATTTTGATAGTGAAGAGATTTCTTATATGGAAGGTTTGGAATTTAAGACAACGTTCTGTACCAATTATACATTTTATGAGAATTGATTATTTCATTTACACGATTTATTAAAATAAATTTGAAATTCTTTTGTAAAAAGCAATTTTGAACGAACATATAGGGTTGACAATTATACCCGATGGGTTCAGGCACTATGATAAACCCAAACCTACTAAAAGAGGAATCTTTGGCCAACTCCCAAGGTCGGGAGCAGGGCTTGGGGACCTCGATATCAAAGGCGAATGTGATGATCGGTGGAGGTGTTCCTTTGGAAAACCCAGACACCCCGACCTCAGCCCCAAATTTGTTAGACCTACCAAAAATTTTTTTTAGAGAAATATACCTAAATTCATACATTATAAAACTTTCATGTTCTTAAGGTCAAATTTCGCTTACACTAAAATTTGGTGCTTTGGAATGTATATTTACAAAAAATAAACTATGAAATATTTTTCTAATATATAAAATTTCAAATATATTTTTTATTTAAAAAAAAAAAAAAACCTTTAATATTTCATGTATGTTACGTTTTAAGACAAAGGGAGATAAAAAATTAAATCCATAATCTAATGATGATCGAAATATTAGTAGGATAAATATTTATAAAATCTAAGGGCTTAATTAAACTCAGCTTTTTTTAAAACAAATAAAAAAAAAATATATGTAAATATTTCTTAAAATGATAATATTTTTACGTTTGGAAACTTTATAATAAGATTTTGTCTTTTCTTTTGTAAAATTTTGGGGTATGACATCAATTATTTTTCCATAAATGGGAAAGATGATAATGTGTTTTTAAGAATAAATGGCAAGTGAATTTGTACATTACCTTCTAGAATGTCTTAGGCTTATCTGAGATCAACACGTGTTTGAACTCTATTGGTTTATAAATTTCCTTTTAAGGTAAATTAGATGCATTTTAAATATAGGTATATTATTTTGTTATATCAAAAGTATTTCAAAACACATGTACACTAAGCCTGAGGTTGAGCTCATACAATCATCCCTCAACTAAAATGGTCTTTATTAGTTACAAATATTTACAATTGTATTGCCTTTTTTGCTTCAACTTTTTTATTTTATTTTATTGAATTTTGAATAATTCCATAAATGGGAAGTGAGATTCATATGGTGTTCAGTGAGTGGCCCTAATTTTACCTCATTAAATTTCTTAATAAAAATGAAAGATGGTTTGATTCAGGCAAGATGTGATTTATGCCACCAACTTTCCTTATATATTGCAATTTAAATTTTCTATCTTAATATAAATGTGTGTAAAGTTGACATGGTTTTTTTTATAATTTTTTTAAATTTATAATTCAAAAATTAATAGGGGTATTTAAGACCTTTCCTCATTTTTTTTTTTTTTTCAGAGTTAATTGCATTGACCTCTCTTGAGATTTCAACATTTTACAGGTGCGTAGAAAAGATGCTTAGGTTAATAAGGACATGAGTAATATTACATCAAAAACTCTTTCTTATAAACTTTCTCTCACAACTCTGACGTGGTAACTCGTAATTAATCAGCTCGTAATTGGTTAGCTCGCAATTAATTAGTAGGACCCATACAGAACCCGTTGTGAACTAACCAATTGTGAACTGTCACATCAGAGTTGTGAGAGAAAGTTTGTGAAAGAGGGTTGTTGGTGTAATATTATTTTAAGGACATACCACTTCATTAAGTTCTGTTAGGGGCTCTGTTAACTGAAAAGTTCCCTCACACCCCCTCAAATATAAAAACCTGAGTTACATCCACCAACTTACTTGAATGAAATTCAAAACAATTTATTTTAAAAAAAAAAAAAAAGCTTATAAATATTTACTTTAACATATTATTTGTAAACTAAAAAAGTTTAAAAATTGAAGCATAATTTTTAATTATTTTTTTCTAAAAATTAATAAATACCAAATAAAAAACTCAAACATTTTGTAAAATAAAAATATAAAAACTGATTTTTTTTTTTAAATATACCTTAATATATATATATATATATATATATATATATTTTGTAAATTGAAAAATAAAAAATAAAAAATGAAAAAATAGATCAATGATTCAGACGATCTAAGAATGATTGCTACCAAGATCTTAATATATTTTATTTTTTAAGACTTTTTCCAAATTTCTTTATTATTCTGAAATATTTGATTTATAATTCTGTATTTTAACATCAAAGTTCTATTTTGCCCCTCCATTAACTTTATCACCAAAAGTTGACAGTAGGAAGTGTAAATATAATTAATTTGTCATTTTTCATTTACAAAAAAAAAAAAAAATTTAAAAATCCCTTCCTTGCAAACCTTGGGCCACTTATATGACCCATGAGGATCATTCAGAGCTTTAAACCCATGATTTAGAGACAAAACCCTTCTCTATAAACCTTGGCCCACTTAAATAGCCCATGTATATTATTAAAGGCTTTGTAATTGTGCCCTAGAAAATTCTAGATATATTTATAATAACAATCTAGACAAATACTTTCATCATGTAAACCAATAAGATCATTATATAATTATCAAGCCATTTATCTATAATTTCACTATATTATTATTGTAACAATTATGCATTTAACTCAACTGGGTTTATATGCAAAGTTAAAGATTAATCTTTCCACACTATACTAACCAATTCAAATTTTCTCATACAAAATTTTAGGCAGCCATTTTTGTGCTCAACTTCACAAAATTTGATTTGAAGAAGCTCAAACTTCTAAATATGTTTAACAAAAATTCCTGGGAAGTAGAATTACATATATAATGAAGAATTAAATACATTGGCCATATGATATTTTCTAACCTGATCTCTTTCTCTTTTTCAACGTCTTTCCGCGAGATTGTACATTTTTCTTCGACATGTTTGAAGGATTCCGCTTGTTTTTCTTCGACAAGTTTGCAGGTTTCTGCTTATTGGACTGTCCTCTTGGAGCTGCTACAGGTTTTGAGTTTTCATCTTCACCATCAGACTGGGAGTCTTCACCCATGGATCTGTCTTCATCGGATGGGGCATCACTTACAGACTCGTCTTCATCGGAACTAAGTACCAAGTCCTCGACAACATCTTCATCCACTGCTACCTCTTCCTGAATCTTTTTCTTCTTCTTCTTCTCCTCTTTAGGAGACTTATCTCTGCAAAAAATAAAAATAAAAATAAAAAGACAGCGCCCATAGTGGACTACAGGAAGCAAGAAAATAGAGACAAAGAAGTGTGAAAATCTGATAAACATACTTTGAAGCGCTTCCAGGTAACCATGATGAACTGAAAACAGCAACACCCTTCCCATTCCTGGCATAATCTTCTTCTTCTTCTTCTTCATCACTATCAGGTATTTTCTTACCACCAAAGACGGAAGAGTTCTCACCCACTAGAACACTGTAAATGATAAGAGCATTATAAGGTGACAATTCTTAACATGGCAATGTATATATATATAAAGGCACACAACAAGGACGATGGAAAACCTGGACTCCAGCAATGAATCATGTCTTTGTTTTGTTCTCAAACGTAGAGTTGCAACATATTGTGACAGTGGGCTAGACCCTGACTTTTTCTCATCCTATGACAAAATGCAATCCATCAGTTTCTCCCAGTGATATAAAGTGAAGCAAAATGGAAGCATTTGTGAGATAGGGAAGATAGATCGGAAACATTAACATCAAGTACACAGCCCCAAGGCCAATATGCAGCTCGCTAAGCACTAATCAATTAGCTTCTGAGTTCACTTTCTTAATATCATCTACTCATTGACCACATAATACACAAAGATATACATCCCATATTATGGCTACTCTAATATATTATATTATGGCTACTCTAATATATTATCCATAATTCTATATTGAAATAAAATGAGTACACAACTAAAAAAAGAACCAAGAATCAGCAAACCTCAAGAAATGATAAAGCTGCTGGATCATTTGGTTGAAAAGTGATTGACATACGCCTTTCATTTGTAAACTTGGAATTAGCTTCAATCTGGAAAGTGAAAGAATCAAAAATATTAATAGAACACACACAAGCTCTGGTACACGTAGATGGATTATTTATACATGAAACCTGAAACAGTTCAACAGAATGAGTTTTCTTTATTTTCTTTTAACATTATTTCCACTGATCCATTTCTACTCTGCAAAGCACGTCTGGATCATTACTCATTATTTCAGTGCTCTGCAAAGCACGTCTTGATCATTACTCTAAAGAATATACCTGACGAATAAGTTGCCTCATTTCTTTTCGGAATCTTTCAACTTTGGTAGTTTTGCAAAAGCTACGCAACCGCACAGCTGGAATAAATGACAACTCAAAGAAAGCAACAGAATAGCTCCATTGGGCTAAATGTTCAGCAAGCTCTTCAACAACAGAGAAAACAGATGCCTCTTGAAATGCTCGTGTCTTCACAATTGGTTTGCTTACCTGCCATAGATACCCTCCAGTCATATAAAGAAAACAATTATGCTGCAACGGTAAATTTACACAGTGAGATATCCATGCTTAAAATACCTTGAGTACAGTGCGCAAATCCACAGCTTTGCCAATACCTCCAGCGGGGGTCCTATTCAGTTCTTTCATCTCTAGCATATCCAAAAGGAGCATGGAAACAGGTATAAAAGTACCGGTAGAAGCAGCAATGTGGTTAAGCATTTTAACACACCTCAATCTAAGGGGAAAGTATCGAGCGGTTGGAACTAAACGAGCAACCCCAGAAATTATTTGGGTCAATGGATAAGCGAGGGGCTTGAAATCTGCTTCTGAGCTATAGGCACAGATAGCTCCAGTCCAGAGCTCAAGGCAGTTCATGAATTTCCACTCATAAACTTTTCGGAATGCTTCCTACACAGAGAGAGCCTCCAGTGAAAAAAATAGTTTTAAGGAAGGTGAAGAAATTGGCCAGCCAGCAACAAGGTAATGGCACAATGCACCATTCTTAGTCAATCAGTGCAAAATTGTACAGCATCTAGCCATATTTTGAAAAATTGTTCCAATCACCAATAGACTAAGGTAGTAAGATTGGAGACCCAGCAGATCACATATGCCAAATTGAAAGGGATAAAATAAATAGCAAATATTTCAACATCACAGAACAGATGAGAAGCACAAAATATACCATAATACCAAATAATTTAGGTTAATCAACAATCTTAAGTGCAAAGGAAATAGTGAAGCAATAATTTTTTAAAAAGGAAACAAAAGAAAATAAAAATAATACCTTCGTTTTAACATTAAATGCATCCCGTAAAATCATTGCCAACTGCCGGATGAAAACAAAGGCATGCTGATATGCAGTTGGAAGATCCACCCCAAGAAGTTCTACAACACAATTACTAAGAAACTGGAGATGCTGTAATTTTACTGCATTTATGAAGTGACAGTTCAGTATATAAGCTTTGTATATCCCCTTGAAGCAGTCATCCAAACAATCAGATCCCAACCGAATGCATATATCTCTCAGAAACAGAAAAGAAACCACAGGGAGTGCACCTCCTCCTGTACCCCAAAAATGAAGTGCAACCTGGAGAGAATCAGAATAAGATAATTATCCCTCACTTATAATTGAAAGAAAAATCTAATAAAAAAAAGAATGAAAAAAGTAATCTGACTAAAATCTACAACAGTGAGGCAAACCTAGTACATATTAAGTGCATTTCAATAATGGCCCACTTAGGCATACTCTAATTCATGTCACACAAACTAAAAGACTTCACCTTAGCCCACACATAATTCAAATCTAAACATAAACGTATGCATTGACAAATTTAAAAGACAAAAAAAAGGGCATTAATGAGATAAGAAACCCAATTACTCAATAATTAGCCATGTCAAATTATTCCACAACCACTATACAACATATAGCCCCTCTTATGAGGGTCATACATCTGATTTTCAGTTTGTCACACACACACACACACACACATACAGGCTCAAATACCATATTGACAGATTCAACCCAAAAACTTAAGTCATCTAGTGGATCATGTAGACCATTATAATTGGTAATTTCAAACCTTTAAAGCAAGCATGCACATGCAGAATTGTAATATTGAAATAGACCAGCATATAAAGATCTCACATTAATCATACAACTGCACAGACAAGAACCTCAAAGAAAACATAAAAATTTACAACTTTTAGCATACCTTAACATATTTCCTTAAAAGGCTTGGAAACGCAGCCAAGAATAACGATGAATATTTGAGACGCCGTAAAGTAAATGATATCATTTCTGTGTCAGTCATTTGATTTAAAACATGTAGAGAATTTCCAAGATACGACTTCACTAAATAATTGTGTTTCTTCCATTGTGGTGTGTGAATCAGATCTGTTATGGTCTCTTTCTTTCCACCAGAAGAGGGGAGTTTCAACAACTTTCTAAGAATTCCATCCATTTCACTCAGTACAAATAACATTATTTTATTAAAGACACTACTAGACATGATACTAAACTTCGTGGATGAATCATCTCCAGCATCATCACCGTAGTGACATGCAATCCTAAAAGCTCTCATAAGAGAACGAACAGCACCTAACTGTCCATTTTCTTTAATTGAAACACACCAAGAATCAACCATTGCAGTAGTTATAACTTTTTTAGATGGTTTCTCTTCTTCCTCTTCTTCCACACCATGCCCATCAATTTCCTCATCTACTTGCATTTCTGCATTTTCTATGTCATCATCCTGCAGAGCATTGCAACAAATTTCATGCATCCATCAATTTCGCACATGCTAAATCTATTAGAAACTTGAACATAATCCACAGACTCACATCAATATCCTCGTCATCAAAATCTAGAAGCTCCTTATCGTGTTCTTGCAGAAACTTAAAGAACTCTGGGTCCTGCAGAAAACATTTGTCAAGAAGATCAGTAAAACCTACAATGGCAGCCAAATGCAGATCAAAATTTCACAAACTCAACTAATAATTCCCTACTTCAGTTTTCACAATTGAATGCTTTGGCTTTTATTAGTAATTGCATTAAATAAGAAAGTCATATCCATCATAGTTATCAGATTTGTAAAACTAAATCCATCTTGCTATTGAAAAACATAACTACAATGAATCCACCGTACAACCTAAACCCCACTTCAAAAATTTTCCTATATTTGCAGTAGCTAAAGAGAAACATTTCCAGCAAAAATACAGCTAATAGCCACTGCCACACGATAGTGACTCTATCCAACCAACAACAGACAAAAATCATTCTGCACACCACAATATATTGACCCCATAACAGCATTCAGTTCCCTAAACCTTACTCTCAACTAGACTATGCAGCCTACAAATCCCCCATTACAATATGCTCTATCCAGAACACAAAACAAAGATGTCCTTCAGAAATGGCTCAAAAAAGTACCAGCCAACTCATTTAACAATTAAGTAGAAAACATTTACAAATAATTCATAATCAATTGCCATTAGAACAAACAATTGAAGATTTAAAAAAAAAGAAAAAAAAAAAATTCTAACCTTCTCCTGAAGCCTTTGTAATTGATCCTTATGTTCCTTTGCTGATTTTTTCCGAGATTTCAATACCGGTTCACTTGTTTCATCATCATCACCATCATCATATTCTGCTTCTAATTCTTCAAATCCTTCTTCCTCGTCTTCTTCTTCTTCCACATCGTTAACTTCTTCTTCTTCCACTTCCTCTATTTCTTCTTCTTCCATTTCATCACTTTCATAGTCTACGCTCCTCACTGAGATCACCAAACACATTAATTGAATTCAGAATTCACAAGCACATATAAAAACATCAAGAAACTCACAAAGCAATCCTAAATTACGAAGATGAAAACATAATAATAATTTAAAAGAAAAAAAAAAAAGAACCTTTGCCTTTGGCGCCCATTTTGATGATAGCTAAACAACTGCCACAGCCAATGCAATTAAGAATCCACCAATCGTAATTCGAAACAAGACAATGAAATACGATTCGAAATTAAACTGAATTGAAGAAACGACCAGAGAAACGGAAAAGAATTAGAGAGGGGGGACTGAGGAGAGAAACGAAACAAAAACCCTAGGGTTTTTATTTTTGGGGTTTTGACTATTTGGCTAATTTTGCTGATCTCCTTTGACCTTTAGTTTAATTAAAACACCCCTATGTTTTAAATATTATTATTTACCCCCTAACTTATTCGTGGTGCTAAAATGCCCTTGTAGGCTACTAAAGGGATATAAGCAGAAATTAATTAACGAGAATGGCAAAAATTACTTAAAATTTTAACCTATCTTAGTCTAAAGGAATCTGAAAGTAAAACTTAGATGCATTATCAGTTATATTTCTTTGAAGAAATTTTGCAAAAGGCTAAAATACCTATAATCCATTCATTTTAATTTTCTTATAATTAATAAGAAATATTCTAAATTTTTAATAAAATTGTCAATTGACAACCGTTTAATTATTTCTAATTCTGTTAATTTTTAATGTTGTTCAATAAGATAAGATTATGGGTATTTGGCAATGTTTTAAAATCAGACCCAACCCGATCGAACAAGTTGAACCAACTTGGTCGAGACAAGTGGTCAAGGTGAAAAATCAGGGATATGAATTCACCCGACATGACCCGCAATTGGACCAGTGTCACTGTAGCAACCCCAGTCCAACAGGTTTTGGGACAAAATCGAGTAACTATTCCCCAATGGTAAAACCTAATTCTAAATCCCTAATTTTAGTTTCATCATTAGACCATGGTTTTCGGCTCTCTAATTTGGGTTTCATTCTTTGTTAAAGTGAAGAAGAAGTAACGGGGAGGGGAAGGAAGAAGTGGCCGGTCTGATTTGGACCTCATTTGGCCAGATTGTCACAAGTAGAGCTTTCTTGGCCGTCAAGTGAAGTAAAGGGAAAGAAAAAGAGGAAGGAAGAAGAAAGTTACTGTAGAGAAAGGGGAAAGTGAGAGAGAGAGAGAGAGGAAGTCAACTTTCTCTTTAAACCCCAATTTAAGTTGTTTTATTTTTGAAATTGTTAATCTTTCTCCTAATGGTATCTATTTAGAGAGAGAGAGGAAGTCAACTTTCTCTTTAAACCCCAATTTAAGTAGTTTTATTTTTATATACCTTTCTCCATTGCCTTCTATGTCCAATTGAATTATAACTGGGTATGCCTTTGTCTTTACTATAAAAATTGTCATTGTCTTCTTCTCTATTCTTTCTAAAATTTCTAAATTCATCTCAGAATTTTCTTTCTTTATTTTGCGTCCCATTTGAGAAAGCTAATAGTTGCTTGTACTTGTCAATCAACTAAAATAAATTTCTTGTTGGAGATAAAATGTAGGTTTCGTTAATGTATCCAATTGGAAGTATTATTTGACAGCTAAAACTAACTGATATTGGATGTTTTATACTATATATAGATATATCTAGTTTGATAAACAATTCAGTAGAACAAACACATCACATTGTTTGTATACCTTTTCGATAATATTTATGATACACATGTATTTAGAGTTTCGCGACAATGGTTATATACACAATTAACTAGCAAGAGAGTGTTCGATTAAAGGGAAGATCGAATACTAATTAGAGGATGATTTATTTTTAATTTCCTATGTGACTGACGTAAATAGAATGTTTGATTTTATTTCCTAAAGTAAGAAAGATTGCTTATAGATGAGACTCTATTTATAAGGGTGTCATTTTTTATTTTGGCGGTGAATAATAATAATCCTCTACTTCCTTTTCAATACTTCTCTTCTTCCTAAACTCAAAATTCTCTCTACTTCTGCAACTCTCCTTTAGACTAAATCACCATATTGTTTTACATCTTATGATCAGTTGGTTTTATAATCAATACATAGAAGACAAATTTCTGTAAAGCAATTACCATATCTTGTGTGTGATTTTTCCACCAAGCTTGGGCTACCGCAAGGATGTAGCTCAATTCAGAACCAGCTCAACTCCAATGATTGTCCGACCCAGCGTAAGCTCGTCGAGCTCTAGCTCGACCCAGCACAAATTAGTTGCGCACAATCTGTGCGATTGTTCAACCAATTCCCAAATAACTTTAGATCCCAGATATCTCAGGAGGAATCAAATTAACAGTAATCTTTACGCAATCACAGCGCTCAATCGCGAGAATATCAGAGTTGCATTTCAAATCAATTGTAATCTCTTTATTTTCGCTATTTCCTTTGTATAAACATTATATATAAACCCCCTCAAATGATTAAAAATGGGTTAGAAAATTCTCATAGAACTCATATTGTAAGCTCTCACAGCAAATACAAGAACAGTGGACATAGGCTCAAGATTCAAACTTGTTGAACCACTTTAAAAATCGCCTCTTGTCATTACCCATTTTCAAAAATCTTTTTTTTACCTCCAAGTCTTGATATCATATTTTCAGAAGAACTATTATGGTTCTTTTGGTGTATGTTACACCAGTACCACATTGCCATTCAATTCTCGATCCATCATATGTTGAAAATAATTTCCCAATATCAGTCATCCTCAACCTCTGAATTACGCTCTTTGATGACCTTTCTTAGATGGTTCAAAACCCTAGACAAATGGAAATCTCTGTTTGCTCATCAGCTTGCTCGGTACAAAGGCCCTATGTCTACTAAAATGGCATGGTCTATCATGTTTTTCCACAGACATTACTCCATCAGATCCGATGGCCTATATTTTTCACATCATCAAGTCACATTTCATCGGTCTTATCCATATAACCTCGTTCATAATATGTTTGACCATCTTGTTGAGACTAGATCAATTCAAAAAATCAGATCATTCCAGATGAAATATGGCCATACTTTCGCGATGATGTTTCGTGGGAACTCTTTCCTCCAGACTACACTGAGAAATTACTCCAAGCCAAACAAACATGCATACGTTCCATCACTGCTCAATTCGATGCCAATTCAGATTATCCAGAATGGTAGTACCCAGACTCACAACCAGATACTGTGCAGGAAGAAGAGCTTCAACAGTCTCGTAATTACTATCTTCATGAATCCAGGCGACAACAGTACATGTGTGCACCAAGTACCTTTGCAAAACAAACATCTCAGATTCCAAACATTTCTTCAGATACTCATCCAGATACATCTTCTCGACAAATCTCTGCTGGCTGGATTCAATCAATGGGTTGTCTCGATTTCCAAGATGAAGACTCGTGGCACGTTACCAACTTGTCAGACGATTAAAACTCTATGTCTTAAAATAAAAAGTTGTATCCTTTATGTAAAATAGTGGTGGACTAAATAACAGTTTGCCAGCTTAATTTAATATCTTCCTTATATTTTGTAAAAGTCAAGTATTGTAGGCTTAAAAAAAAAAAAAAAAGAGTCAAAATGTTTACTCATGTATTAAATGACTCATTTATGAGTCTTGCAGGGGTTGTATATCTCTTGTGTATTTATCTTGCTCAAAAATCTCTCACTTCTCCCTTACATATTTTCTTTACACATCTTTACCATAATTTTTCTATGTTTCTTTCATCTTTCTAAATTTTCCCTCAACCTCAAGGGTATTGTAATATTCCGATAATGTTATGGATAACAAAAGATCCCATATATGTTTTTAATTTATATTCTTTGACATATTTATGTTCTTCATTTATGTTCTTATTCTTCATTTATGTTCTTGGTGTGTTTAATTTTCACTAGCCCTTTTAGATGATATTAGAAGTTGTGTGGGTATACATGCGTGCGGGATAAAAGGAGGGCCTTGACCATGATTTCGACCGATCGTTACATTGATTGGTTTCACTTAGGTCGGCTATCATAGTTTCCCACATGTATAAACTCCACAATCTATAAATAAATATATAGATAGAAAAGAATATATTCTACATGGAATGTGGTTAAACGAATGAAAATATATCATGTATGTGTTATCTTGCTCATCAATTTCAATAATAAACGTTTCTTAATAATTTTTAAAAATAATTATTCACATGATATAATTTATTAGTTTGACGTATAAATTAATAATATATGTATGTTCAAATTATGGTGTTGATATAGAAATTTGTACCAATGAGAGAATTCCGATTGATCCTGTCGAAACCGAAATAGATGTGCGCATGATTTAATGAAAATCAGCAATTGAATAATTAAAGAGAAAATACAAGTAATGACAAGAGACAATTTTTAAAGTGGTTCAACAAGTTTGAATCTTGAGCCTACGTCCACTGTTCTTGTATTTGCTGTGAGAGCTTATTATATGAGTTCTATGAAAATTTTCTAACCCATTTTTAATCATTTGAGAGAGTTTATATACAATGTTTATATAAAGAAAATAGCGAAAATAAATGGATTACAATTGATTTGAAATGCAACTCCGATATTCTCGCGATTGAGCATTGTGATTGCGTAAAGATTCCTATTAATTTGATTCCTTCCGAGATATTTGAGATCTGAAGTTATTTGGGAATTGGTTGAACAATCGCACGGATTCTTTGCAACTAGTTTGTGTTGGGTCAAGCAACGGACAATCGTTGATTTTTAAATTCTACCTCATAATAATTACCTAATTTTATCTATCAATAATATTTTAACAATACTATTCAAAAAACTAAAATAAATACAAACTATAATATAAAATTTATTTTTATTTATAATTTACCAAAGTTTGGACGGTGCTCATGTATGTCACGTCCCCTTTAAAACTTTTGTAAGCCCCTAATTAAAATTTAAAATACATTTTTATAGTACATTTTTTATGATACTACGATGGGTTAAATCAACGAATAAATGTTCGATAATATCAATGAGTCTATTCCATTTAAGGCTCCAACAAAACACAAAAAGACTTTTCAAAACAAATATTTTTAATCTTAATAATAGAAGATATTCCCTCTCATGAAGAAGAGATATTCCAAGCTGCTGGCCTCGAGAGTCGAGAAGACGATAACCAAGGCAAGTCACGTGACAGTCACCTGACCTCTCCATTAATTCACTCTCTGCCGGCTGCCATTTACATGAAAGAGTCTTTGACGAGTGTACCCAACTTTTCTGTTTGTGTCAGAGCCAAACAAGATCCCTGCAAGGCTATTTTGGTAATTTGAGAGATATTATCGTGTACACGTTCTGTGATCAAGCATGATAATCACCGTTCATTGACAATTTTATACTTTGATGAAATTAATAAGTTTTGTTAGAATTATATAAAAGTCACCAATTTGTTAAATTCAGTCAATTCGGTCTTTAATTTTCTTACGTTTTATTTGATCTTTCAGTCTAAATTAGGATTATTTTTAACTTATTAAACGAATAACCCAGAGGGTCAATTTGGTAATTAAGACCAAAATTTTTTTCATCACCTACAAACGTCACCTACACAAGCAAGATCAAGACCGTTCTCTAGGTTACTTAATTGCCGATCAATCGATGGTAATCCTCATCCTTCACCTGTCAACGGCCCAATGAAAACCCTCCACGTATCTGCACATGCAGATGCGACCGACCCATCTTCACTTGTGTGCTTAAATACAGAAGCCATTTGTGGAGAGCACCAGCCAACCCAAAAGAAAGGAGAAAAGGAAGAAAGAGAGAAGTGATTCTTCTCTCCCCGAAGTGCTTCCAGAAACAGCACTTTTTTTCCTTCAGGTACTTCTTCCTCTTCTCATCATGCATGTCTAGATCTTTGAATAACCATGCTGCTATTATTTTATTTTATTTTTTCCTCTTATTATTATTATTATTTTTTTTTGTACTTTTTGAGTTTTTTGTAGTGCAATGTGTGTTCTTCTCTTTGCGTGCTCCTCTCTCTCTTTTTTTTGGTTAAAAATTATGACAAAAAGTATTTTCAAATACGCATATGAGAATTTCCATTAAACTCATAAATATTATGTATTTTCCATAAGTTTTATATATAATTTAACTCGCGTCGAATTCGAGTTTGACTGTTTGAGTTTAAAACTTGGGTTCGCAAAACGAATTCGAGAATTTATAGATTATGAAAACGATGTACAATCACTTGTGAGTGACACAACTCGTTACACTCAAGCCGAACTGGCTCGTGTTTTGATGGATTCATATCCAAAATGGCCTTTGAAGGTTACTTTTTTTTTTTTTTTTAAAAAAATAAAGTCAAATCATCAAACGATGAAGAGGATGATGGTGTTGTGGTTTTGCTTACAATAAGGAAGTGTTTGGCTGGTGAGATAATTTTGGAGAAGAAGTCATTTCAGGTTGTTATGAGATATTTCCCTGATTATCTGCAGTTTCTGTTTTTTTCTTTAAATTAATTCATTATTACCATTGTATTCTTTTCCCAACATTTTCCTTGGTGTTAACGTTGTTTTATTAGTTTATTATTATTTTGTAACTTATTTTAATTACTATATTTAACTGTTTTTTTTCTTTTTAAAGTTATTTATTTATTCTTATATCTTCTCTGGAAGCATATAATTTATAATTACCTGAATTGACTGTTTATTCACCATCCATACTTGTCATTTCTATTTGTAAAAGAAGTAATATATATATATTTTTTTTTGGCTTAATTTCAAATTTATTGCCATTATATCCAATTCGTCAAAATGAATTTCAAGCGGTTGCCTAATAACCTGAGTTAGGTTTTGATGGAATCGTGTTCAATTAAAAACGTGTCAGAAGTTGAGGAATATATCATATGGTTACTTTTAAGCTTCACATTGAGTGACAATTTCTTATGATCTTTGTAAATGAATGAAGTGATAGACAACTAATTGGATGTGGACACATGCTGTGTTAGGCTTAATTTCTGATTATCAGTACCAATAGTTGTGTTTCATTTTCATAGCCCATGTGAATTTTAATTTGGAAACACTGTGCATAACTTGTTTTCACACTCATATGTCAATTAATTTTGTTCACATATTTTTCTGAATACTCATAACCACCCATCATCGGCGGAAACCTTTTCTTTTTTATTTTGTTTTGATCGAAATCGAAACATTATCAAACCGTTTTCGTGTCTTGTACTTCGGCATTTCGTGATATGGCATGAAAGATGGTTGGCCTCATGGCCTGTGATTAAATATGGGTGGACCTGAAGTTGGACATGGAAGTATTTGCATTAATATTTCTTGACATCTTCTAGCCCCATAGCAGGCATTAGTAATTTAGAGTGGACCCTTTACCTTACATTATGAAATTAATATTTATTTTTTACCAGTTTCTTTTGTCCATTATTCATTTATTGTTTGCCTTTCCTTCTGTGTTGCCTGCTACAATTATTAATTTTCATTGTTATGCTTTCAATTTACTACAACTGGCTGTTGTTTTCAGCAAATTTTAACAGAAATTCTTGATAACTTAAACCGACATTTGATTTTTAGGTAAGAAACAATGGGAGCTGGTGGCCGGATGACAGCCACCAACGGTAAGCAGGAAGGGAAGGAAAGTCCTGTCCAGCGTGCACCTTATACGAAGCCTCCCTTCACTCTTAGCCAAATCAAGAAAGCCATTCCTCCTCACTGCTTCCAACGCTCCCTCGTCCAGTCGTTCTCCTATGTTGTTTATGACCTTATCTTGGTGTCCCTCTTCTACTACATTGCCTCCAATTACTTCCTTCTCCTCTCTTATCCACTCCCCTACTTAGCGTGGCCCGTTTACTGGATTTTCCAGGGCTGTGTTCTCACCGGTGTCTGGGTTATCGCCCACGAGTGTGGTCACCATGCATTTAGTGACTACCAATGGGTGGATGATACTGTTGGGCTGATCCTCCACTCAGCCCTTTTAGTCCCTTACTTCTCGTGGAAGTACAGTCACCGCCGCCACCACTCGAACACCGGTTCTCTCGAACGCGACGAGGTATTCGTCCCAAAAACCAAGTCCAAAACCTCATGGTTTGCCAAATACTTGAACAACCCTCCAGGGAGAGCTCTTACCCTTTTAGTCACACTCACTCTGGGATGGCCTTTGTACCTAACCTTCAATGTGTCAGGCAGGCCTTATGATCGTTTCGCGTGCCATTTCGATCCCCATGGCCCCATCTACTCAGATCGCGAGAGGATCCAAATTTACATTTCCGACTCTGGCATCTTCACCGCGATATACGTTCTCTACCGGGTCGCGATGGCTAAAGGAGTAGCTTGGCTCGTATGCATCTACGGAGTTCCATTACTTATCGTCAACGGCTTCCTCGTCTTGATCACATACTTGCAGCACACGCATCCGGCTTTGCCACACTACGACTCTTCGGAGTGGGACTGGCTGAGGGGGGCTCTGGCGACTGCAGACAGAGATTATGGTGTGTTGAATAAGGTTTTCCATAACATTACAGATACACATGTAGCTCACCATCTCTTCTCCACCATGCCACATTACCATGCTATGGAGGCAACCAAAGCGATCAAGCCAATATTGGGTGAGTATTACCAGTTTGATGGCACCCCATTTTACAAGGCAATGTGGAGGGAGGCTAAAGAGTGTCTTTACGTCGAGCCCGACGAGGGTTCTCCGGCGAAAGGCGTTTTCTGGTATCGGAATAAAATCTGAAATGGCTATGGATGGTTGAGTTTAAATAATATGCAGTGTTATATGGTAGTTGTACTCTTAGCAATATTTCCAGTGGTTTCATGGTTGTTTGGAATGCCTAAAAGATGAAGAAAATTATGTATTAGTTGTATGCTAAAATTTGTTGTTGAGAGTTTTAATGGACCTAAAATGTTAAGTTTTAGAACTTGTTGTGTACTGGTAAGTTGTGTTTGTTTGATAGAAATCTGTCTTAAGGATATACAGTCTCCCCGCTTCATTATATTAATACAGTGGGACTATCCATTAAAACATTGCAACGTATTAGACACGGGGCAAAACTAATAAACTTTTACTTATGTTGTGTTTGTTTGATTTCGGTTTCATGATCCAACTACCACATCTCTAATATAATTTCATAATAAGAAGAAACTTAAATATCCCACGTGTATATATACAGCAATGCTAATTAATATTAAAAAAAAATTGTGTACTTGCCTAAGTTAGTAATTTTTAATTTTGACATAAATGGTTATCCCAAAATTGAGCCATATACAATGATTGTTGCTTTTGTATATATGTCACATAATTTAATTTTAATTTATTTTTTAATGTTTAGATTAATTTAATAAAATATATTTTATTGCTATATATATAGATATTGTTTTCCCAATATGTTTGAATAGATTTCACCTGAGTTCTTGGTATACACTGTAATTGATAATTTTCCAATTACAAATTAAGAAATGAAAAAAAATTCAATTCAACTATTCATTATTCAAAAATAGATAATTTAATTTCTCGTCTTTGTTTCTATTTTAATTTAACTAGAGTAAAAACCATTATTCTGAATTCTTATTTCGACTAAAATAATTTTTGATACAAAGAGAAAGATAAATATTGGATAAAATACTGATAGATAATTAATTAGGATGTTTTCACAACTCGAAGTTAAATAAACTAATTTTCTTTCTTCTTCTTTATTCCTTGCAAATTTGACACCCATCAAATGTTTTTCTTCTTTAAATGATATCCTCTTAATCAATCACAATAATTTGAAAGTTTTTCAAACCCTTGACTTTATGTAATAAATCAAACCCTTAAATTAATGGTCCATCGGCTTTGAATATCGACATGCCACCATTTCTCATCACTTCCATCTTCCTCTTCTTTGCATGCGCACTCATATGCCCTCCCAAGGCGTTTCCACTCGCAAACTTCACATGACACATAAAGCATTTGTGTTCTCTCTCATCTTCATCGTCACAATCATCTTCATCTTCGACTTCAATTTCAGCTTCGGTTTTGCTCATTTTTGGATCATCGAGGTGACACAAATTGGTATAATCATTCCTATGTTCATCAGGCTCAAATTTTGGTTCTTGAACTTCTTGTTTTACAATTTCCTTATTTTTTAGGCGGGTAGAATTTGCATGAGATAAAGTTCTTGGGCTGATAAGTAGTGTATTTTTATCATTAGGGTTTTCTGTAATACTTGTAGTATTGACACTTTGAGCCTCCATTAATGGGGAATGAGTGAAAGTGTTTGATAAATTCGGAAGCTCGAATTCGCTGCCAAGAGGAATGCAGGCTGCAACTTCAAACCATTCATCTCTATACTGTTGGGGATCACAGTCAATATTATTTTGGTCATCCATGAGGGTTTAAGAGATTGTATAAAGTAGTTAATAAAATAGATGGCAAATGGTTGAGAGAGAAGGGGCTAATGGGTGGATGATAAATAGGTTTAAGGGCTTATAGTTATATACTAGAACACTTATGATACCACAAGAGTCCCTACCTAAGTTTTTAATGGTAGAAATTGAGAAGAGAGAAAATATTCATATATGGTATACATGTATTGATGGGTGGTATGGATAACGTGATACTTCTGTCGTATTCTATATTCTTATATATATATATATGGACATGGAGTATATACAGTTTATCATTGACATCTGTACAAATGTATAAATGGGTGGTATGTATGTATAGATTAAATAGAAAATAAATAAATATACAAAAAGGTGTTTTTTTAAGGAATAATACTACAGTAAAACCTTTTTATAGTGATACTCTATATAGGAATAAACTCTACGTAGTCATAACAAATTCTATTCTCAATTTGGAATAATTATAAATAAGAATAAACTTCACATTGTAATAAGTCATAGTTTTTTTAACTCTCGTCTTAAGGAAAGTTGTCTCTACATTGTAATAATTATCTGTATATTGCAAAAAAATATATGTTATATTACATTAAAGGTTTAAGATGAAATAAAATATTTATCTGAAGTTGTTTGAGACAATAATTTATGCTTTAGAGTTGTTACCACATCTTTTAACTTGTGAGTACATTACTTGCTAGCATGAACATTTTCTTGTTAAAGCCAAAACATTTCTAACTTCTCAAACATGTTTAGAGCTTCTTGACATTAAACTTTTTGTGTTTCCATACTATCATCCTCATAGTTATTTCATTTCTCTTCTTGTTTAATTGTAGAAATAATTTCTTATTTTGTTAAAGCATACATAACTTGTTACTTATTTGGATGATTAAGGAAGACATTAATATTTATTTGATTAGTGTAGTGAAATTGTCGAATCTGATCATTCAATTCTATAATGACTCTTTGATTCTCCTCATTCACTTCATTTGTAACTTGCAATTCATCAATATTGGGGATCCTAATTTTGTAATGTTTAAAATAATTCGCAATTATCTGTGGTTTCACATCAGTTGTCATGCAGCAACTGCATTTATAATTCTATCAAGGATAGTTATTTTTGTTGGTTTCAAAAAACAATCTTCTATCTGCTTTAAAAGTAGGCAATTGAAGAGCTAAATTAAAACCCTAATATTATTAAAACATGAATTGAAATCCTAATATCATACTATTAAATCATGAATTATGAAATAAATTTTTTTTTAACTACACCTTTATTAAGTTATAATCTCCCTACAGTAATAAAATTAATTAGTTCCAACATTATAACTACAGAGAGGTTTTACTATATATATATAAACTAGTGTGTTTTAATGTGATTGGATAATTTTAATTAAATTAGTAAATCAATGTCATGTAAAACATGCAGGGTTGCTACATCAATTTGTATAATTAATTTGTACATGTAGCATTACTCTAGTTTAAAAATGTGTGAATGATGTAATCTTTTTCAATATAAAATGTGTTAAATGTAGAACATATAAACAAATTAATTAAGAAATAGTACATAAATCTACTAATTTAAATTGTATTGCTGATTCATAGTTTAATTGTTATCATTTTTCATGTATAGAAACAAGATTAGGTCATTCAAACTCCAAGTGATATGAATGTCTTGATTTTTATTTTATTTTATATTTTAAATTTGGACTATGTTTTGATTATTATTTTTTAATTGTCCAAAAACAAGACATTTTTAAAAAAAAAAAAAAAAAACATTAATAGTTTATGTACAAATACATTATACAAACTCTCTCATATAAATTGATGTATTTTAGTGCGATTGGATGATTTTAAATTAGAAATAATTTAAACAAATTAAAGTAAATAATACATCAAACATATATTCTTCATCTGGTTTGTACTCAGTACGATGCCTTGAGGAACTTTTGCGAATTATCTTATCAGATTATCATTCCAAAAGGATCAACTATAAAAATGATTTAGGCATGTACACGATATCCCTAATATTTGTTGTCTCCATTATATATAATAGGGTTGACATAATGAAATGTTACAGTAATAATTTTATATATGAAAGCATCGTATGCCTTTTGAAAATATGTATTTTGATTTATTCAAGAAATTTCAAACATTAGTTAGGTTAATATTGTTACTTATATAGGTTTAATTGAATTTAATAAGTGACAACAAACATATTCAAATTACATTTATGCGTCACATAAATCATTTAATTTGCAGGTAATTTATTACCGGGCCAGTTTCAGATTAAGAAAAAATGAATTTAAACCATTAATTAATTAAAAAATGACAACCAAAACAATGTTATAGTAGCTTTAATTTCCAGAAATCAAACCACTGGCCAATTAATTTTTCACACAAAAAGAATTAAAAAATTATATTCCATTTCATGGTAATATTATTAATTAGTTATTCATTTGTTATCCATTCAATTTTATCCAAAATTTTGGTTGTAAAATCAGTGCATAATATGAATTTTTAGTACAATACAACTCTAAAATTGAATTAATACAATACAAAATTAACAATATTTTTCATTTTTTGGTCATTTTTTGTTATATGGAATGGAATTACCCAATTTACTCATCACTTTTAAAGTGCTGTGCTTGTCTTGCCAAAAATAAAATTTAATTGAAAGTCTCCATTTAAATTTATTCCAAATTAAGGACTAAGAAAAAATAGAAATAAAATAATAAAGAATTTCTTCAAATATATATAATTAGAAAGGTAATTAATGAAGGGGGAATATCATATAATACCCCTAAGGTTTTCAAAATTATTTTGGATGACAATTTTTGCACTTTTATCAAATGAACCCTCAAAGTGTAAACATTATTCCAATAATACCCCTTTGCCCTAACTCTGTTAAGTTTCCGTTAGTTTTGGAGAAGCAAAATAGTAACTTTGGTCTCATAAGAAACTGTTTTGGAAAATTTTCTACAAAATTGTCAATTTTGGGAGGGAGAACGACTTATACATACCCAAGATTTATCGTAACGACAAGTTGATACCCAAAAGGTTTTAAAATGACAAATAGGTACTTTCCGTCATGTTCTGTTAGTGATTTCTGTTTATTACTGTTTATTAATAGTGAAAAGACTAAAATGCCCTTAAAAGTTTGAATTTTAGTTTTTTATAAATTTAAAAATTTCAAAAAACCCCCTAAGTTTACAAATTTCACTAAATACCCCAATATATAAAAGTTTTATAAAATAACAAAAACACCCCCCACCNCATCACTTTTAAAGTGCTGTGCTTGTCTTGCCAAAAATAAAATTTAATTGAAAGTCTCCATTTAAATTTATTCCAAATTAAGGACTAAGAAAAAATAGAAATAAAATAATAAAGAATTTCTTCAAATATATATAATTAGAAAGGTAATTAATGAAGGG